TGCAGCACTGGGGACGCACGTAATGGCACCGAGCTGGGCACTCAGAAATGGCTAGGACAGTAAGTTCTGTGCTGTGAGTATTTTACCACAATGAAAGCCTGAGGAAGAAAAAAAGAGACTTAAGAACATAATAATGAAATGCAATGTGTGCTCTTAACTGTATCCTAGCTCAGAACATAACGGTTATAAAAGGAGGCTTGGGGACAGCAGGGTACATTTGGTTGTGGCCTGGGTAACACATGATAATTAGCAATGTCACTGTCCTTAGTGTAGGACACCAGACTGTGTGGCCCCTTCCCAAGCCCTGTGGCCTTGCTCTCCCGCATTGCACTCTCATGCTGCCCTTGTGTGGGGCAGCGTCTCTGCCCCAGTGATGGGAGGCATCGCCAGGTGACTCGCTCTGTGAGATGGGGGCAGGCCAAGGGGGGGCTCCCGTCGTCTGAGCAGCTCATGCCAGCAGCCACCCCCTCCCCAGCTCACCTGTGGCCGGGCACAGCGCTGCCCAGACAAGCCCAGCCTGGACCAGCCAAACCAGCGCTGACCTGCACTCCTGCAACCACAGCACACAAGCTGGTCGCTGGTACGAGCTGTGAATTTAGGAGCCATCTGACAGCAGCATCGTGTGGGAAGTGTGACCAGTCCAATTAGAGGACAACGAGATGGTGGTTTCTGGAGGAGAATGTCCTTGTCTTACAAGGGGGTGTGACTACCACAAAACTGCTAATTTGCGTGGGTGTGGACCGGCCACAGGAGGCAGGGTGGCAGCGAAGCAAACGCTGATAATGGGCCAGGTGGGGGTGTGCGGTGCCCGCCCTCTGCGTCTCACTGTGCTGGAAGTGCTCGTGCTCGGGAAAAGGGACAGCGAGACAAGACAGGAGGCGCCAGCAAGACAAGAAGGGGGAGCCACACGAGTGGGAGAAATTCGTGAAGCGTGTGTTGATGTGTATGTGCTAACACCCAAAACACACGAAGAGCCCGTTGCACCCCACAGCAAAACCAGCGATCCAAGATAGAAACAGGCAAGGGCCTGAACGGACATTCCTCCCAAGAGGACACACGGATGGCCACAGGTCCATGAAAAGAC